CCTAAGTTACCTTGGCTGCCTCACCCTTTAAACTTAAAAAAGAAAACTGCCTTCTTGTCTCCCGGTAATACTGCTACTCCGTTGTTATTGTTTTTGTTGTTATTATTTATTATTTTTATTATTATTATCGTATTTGTTCTTGTTTTTACCTTTCCTGAGTTTTCACACCAGTAGCGACTAATCGTTTTGTATCTAAGATTAAAACACAAAATGTTTCTTAATACTGCAGGACTTTCTTCATTATTAACTGTTCGTGTCTGGAGAGATGCGTGTTTTTTTTTTTTTTTTTCGAATTCTCAGATCTTCTAGCATTTTCGTTAGATTTTTCCCCGGTAATGTTACCTTAATGATTTATAAGTTTCATAGTTAACAATTTTTCATAATTTATGCCTAATTTTCATAATCAAACCTGTAATAATTATCAATATACAATTATATTTATATTTCCTATTCCATTTGTAATGGAAAGGGCGCTAAGTCAACAGATGTAATTAAATTTATGCGTGATTACTTCCCTTGTTCATTTTAATAAACTATACAAATAAAATATTTAGTTGCATTTTAACAAAAATAGTTCCCAAGCAAAATGAACCGTTTAATTATTCAGTTCATTAACTCCTACATTTCTTCGATTTCAGTCTTATTTGTTCAAGCCTTTCATGTGAGGCACTCAGATACCTGTGTCTGTTAAGTGATCGTCTTGCTTCAACATAGTCTTGAAACAGGTTTTGTCGTATATCAAAATAAAATTATCGAATATAACAAAATGACGCTTAATATTTTGTCTTTCTGGAATAAATAACGCCATAATTTCTCTTGAGAATATTTATAATATTTTAACGTAAAGAAATAATTCAGTTTGTCTTTTTCGTTTCATAATTAATCTTCTTCTTCCGAGATATATTTCCATTTCAATAGTATATTAAACAAAATTTTTAGCATGAAAAATTATTGAGCAGAAATCGATTTATATAATACCAGGAATAATCAATGAATCATAGATATCACTGAATGTCTAAAATATATAAAAGGAACGGATTAATTAAACATTTCATTGACCTCTGTTTTAATTTTAAATTCTTTATCACCAATTTATGGAATCTCAATACATTGTTTCAAGACTTTTGTTGTATTGTATCTCACTATTAAAACTTTCTAACAACTACCATCATTTTTGACGACACGCGTACACTAGTAATTTAATAAAACACTTTTTTTCTTTGAGATTGGACAGCAATAAATCTATATTTAATATTTATCTTTTTAAAAAACTTGCAATTTTTCAGTACGATTTTGAAATTCATCCTATTGCTGTTCAGAAGAAATTTTTTTTTAATTAAATAAAAACATGTTCCTTAGCTCCTACATTTCTTAGATTGCAGTCTCATTTGTTCAAGCTTTTCATGTGAGGCACTCAGATATGTTTGTGTATTAAATTATCGTCTTGCTTCAACTTGGTCTTAAAATAGGCTTTGTCGTCACCGTTTTTGTTGTTCTGTTAATGTTTTTCTTCCGATAAATATTACCATTTCACTATTATATTAAGCACATAAAATTTTTATCGTGGAAAGATATTGAGCAAAAAGCGATTTATATAATACCAGGAGTAATCAATGAATCATAGATGCCATTGAACGTTTAAAATATATAAAAGGAACGGATTAATTAAATGGTTCATTGGCTTCTATTTTAGTTGTGAATTCTTTATTTCCGCTTTATTCAATCTTAATATATTGTTTCAAGAATTCTGTTTCGTTGTATATCACTATTAAAAGTTACTAACAGGTGTAGTCATTTCTGACAACACAGGTACATTAGTTTATTCATAATTCATTATCTATTTCATGCTAAGTTTCGATGTTTATCCAGCTGTTAATTTTCTTTAACCTGATGTGTTGAAACAGCGAAACCTCACTTCTGGCGTCCATTGTACTTGATGTCTGATTCAAGTTGATTGGAAAATATGAGTTAACACACGAAACAGGGGGAAAAAGTAAAAGCAAGGACAAATATGGAGTGACCAATTATAATAAAAAAACAAAACAAAAACAGACAAATAAAAAATAAGCAGTAATTTTCCAAAAATACACTTCAAACTGAATTTCTTCTTTGCGTTAAAATATTTTAAAACGTTCATAAGAGAAATTAAGAAGTAATTTATTCTAGCAAAACAAAATACTAAACGTTATTTTGCAACAATCGATAATTATATTTTGATCAAGTGAAGGTGAAAGCACGTCTAAAAGAAATATCGACAAAAAGTTTTTGGAAAATTGCTTTCTCAAAGTACTGCAATGTTCCAGCTATTTTCTTTGGGGAAATCAATATTATCGAAATGGAATTAGTGCAGATCTTTTGAAGAAGGGTTATAAAAGCCACAAACAGATTATATAAAGTAAATACATTTTCAAGTATAACAATGAAAGATTTGATAATAACTTCGATAAAAATCGGTTATTACATTTCAAAGTATTTCAAAACAACTTATGATATATGAAAGTAAATAAAAATACCTTATCATTTATAATAGACAAAAAGAGTAGATGTTTGATGGCTACTTTAACGTTTGTATACAGAGACAATTCGTTTAAATGAAGCAGCTGTTTGGAAAATTTAAATAAAACATGTATTGATATGAGTGGACTAAGATATAAAAGCATAGTTCTGAATGTAGATAATTAGATAGATAGCTAGATATGAAGAGACAGGGATATATATATATATATATATATATATATATATAGATAGATAGATAGATAGATAGATAGATAGAAAATTATCTAGAGAGATAGATATGAAGAGACCGAGATACCTTGATAGAAACAGATTGACATAGGTAGATAAATAGATAGATAAATAGATAGACTGAGACAGAGAGAGATGAACAGACTGATATAGATAGATATGATCAGACTAAAATATAAAGATAGATAGATAGATATGAACAAACTTAGATAATAATAATCATATAAGACTCTGGAATTGAAAATCGCACCGCAGCTCATATTCCGTAAAATCCTTGTTGAAAACACAATTATACTTAAACGTGAAAACAATAAACAAAAACTAAAAATTCTTGAAGCGATATACATAAAACAGTTGAAACCTAACCTCAACAAAATAAACTATGAAATCTCCACACATATTCTTAAATATCTATAATTGGTAACAGAAGCCATTGGTTTATACCAACGGCTTCCCATACTTAATACTTCTCGAATTCACTCTCGCGTGGTCATGTGTGACGTCATGAGCTGCGGGGCGATTTTCGCTTCCAGCGTCTTATATGCACGAGTTTGTCGTAGCTTGGAAATCATCCATGTAAGCAGAAACAGACTATCATCACATTCTTGTCCGTGTATTGCTTAATATATTGTACAGTAATTGTCAGCTTTGATAATGGCTTATGTAAGCCGAAAGCTTAGATTGGATTAAAAAATATGTATCAATATTGTGAGTTTCTTTCTTCGTTTAATGATAATGTTATTAAGCTTATCAGACGTTATGAAAAGAATTTACATAAAATAAATAGACAACACTTGTACTTGTCTATATTATTTAATGAAACATGTATGAATGAAAAATGTTGCCTAAATACACACACACAAATGTATATATATATATATATATATATATATATATATATATATATATATATATATATATGCATGCATGCATGCACATATATATATATATATATATATGCATCCATGCATATATATATATATATATATATATGCATCCATGCATGCATGCATATATATATATATATATATATATATATATATATATATATATATATATATATATATATATATATATATATATATATATATATATATATATATATATATATATATATGCATGCATGCATGCATGCACAATAGAGTAATGGATAGCGGCTTAGATTGAGGAATCGCAGAGCCGAGTTCGATTTACAGTCGAATCCATTACATTCACTTACGTGCTAATACCCTTGGGAAAGGTGTGAATCCTCTTCTTCTCCCTCCATCTATGGGTAAAATAGCAGGACAGACTGGGTTCTATAGCCTTTGATGGCAACTGGTCTAGGAGAAGGACAACTCTGAATTCAAAACCTGTGGAGTGTCGTTTGGGGACCTTGTGGCACTTAGTGCACCAGGTCTCTGAATTCGGCCCTTCAAAAAGTGTGGCTGGTCTTGCACGAAACCTTCAGCACTATAATCAAATCTCTTGTGCTGTTGTTGGGCTGTCGGTTTCCTGGGAACTGATCTGCTTGACCCTCATACGTCGAATTCGAAGGGGAGTCGACTATATATATATATATATATATATATATATATATATTTATGAACAGAATTACATCGATATATTGATAGATCTCAAATATATCGATAGCTAGATACATAGACTGTTACGAATAATGCAACAATTTACTCCAATAATAATATTCAATAACTTTAGGCTTGAATATATCAATTTCTTATTGATTTCTTATTCGCCAATTCCAAGCGGGGGTGTAATGTCTGCGCGGTGAATCAGGTACAACCTAATTCATACCATTTGGGCGTTTAGGTGTATATGCTATTGAATCAGACCGAACACGAAGACGAATTCCTTACAGCGGTCGCGTGCTTCGAAATTAGCCGTTTAATTTGTGATCTATCTTCAAGAAGCAATCGACTTTTCAAGATATAGACTGAATATATGGAGGTGAACATAAACTGTCTGACTGATGTCGGGTTTGAACCGTCGGAAATGAAGGAATGATGATGGGCCGAACTTCGACAGCACGAAGAGATTTATTTTACTGACGATTAGGATGATAATGGTGACAGCCATTAAGAGGTTTAGACATAAGGCTGATGATGCTGGAGACAAGCCTGATAATCTATCTGGCTTGAGCATGGTTCTACCAGAGTAGATATGGTAGAAAGAGGCTAATTTGAGAGGAGAGCACATTGGTTGAATATACCCTTGAGATACACTGATATGAGTATAAACTTAGAAATAACTTCAGTCTAAATAGGGTTAAAAATTATGGAAGGATAGATAGATAGATAAGAAAAGATTGAAATAGATAGATATGACGTGATGTGATATATGAATAGACTGACTAGATAGATAGATGAGAATAACTGAGATAGATAGATAGATAAATATGAACAGACTGAAATCTGAAGAAAGACACTAGATAGATAGATACATAGATAGATAGTATGATGTGATGTGATATATGAACAGATTGGAAATGATAGATACGATGTGATGTGATGTACGAATAGACTGAAATAGATAGATAGATAGATAGATAGATAGATATGAACAGACTGAAATCTGCAGAAACAGACACTAGATAGATAGATAGATAGATAGATAGATAGATAGATATGATATGATGTGATATATGAACAGACTGAAAATGATAGATAGATGCGATGTGATGTGATATATGAATAGACTGAAATAGATAGATAGATATGAACAGACTTCCCTAGATAGATAGATAGATAGATAGATATGATGTGATGCGATATATGAATAGACTGAAGTAGATAGATAGATAGCAGAGAAAAACTGAGATAGATAGATATGAACAGACTGAAATCTGCAGAAACAGACACTAGATAGATACAAACATTCATAGAGAAAAAGAGATTGCCATACGATGAGGCGTCCTATATATATATATATATATATATATATGTGTGTGTGTGTGTGTGTGTGTGTGTGTGTGTGTGTGTGTGTGTGTGTGTGTGTGTAAAACACCGTTTTAGAATTGCAGAATAATAATAATGAATCATCGCCTAAAATGTAACTCAATTTTGCATTTTTTTCGGCTCCAAATATTTGGATCTGTGTATTCATGTATATTAACCAATCAGCGACGTCGTTTGAGACGCTCGTTTTTCTTTGAATTAGCAGACAGTAAAATATCTTAGATGTCGAATTTTGGAGGCCAAACTTCAGAATATGGTCAACAATATTTTTCTTCCTTAAATGAATATGTAAAATATATATATATTAGCCGATAAGCTTGTGATTAAAAATATAAATTTTAGATCCATCTGCACGTTAACTAGTTATTATAAATATAATTAATTTTTGTTCGCTAATGCTTCTCAGTTAACGAGACCAGAATTGTTTGTCCGGTTGTTTCTTACACAAACGAAACTGAAATTCTAGTCATTAATTATTCATATCTTTTGCTTATTTATTCCGAGTATTCAGCATTACAAAAAGTACGTTTAACGACCGCTAACTTGTTTATATGTTGCAACAGTAGCACACAAAACTATAACTAGAATGTATACACACAGTGCAGAAATTGTAAATTTGTCAAATAGACACCCGAACCCATACAACAGTAGCGTCTAACTCATAAGAGCTACAACAAGAAGTCATACACACTACACCTGTCTCATGAAGCTTTTTTTGTTTTGTCTTTTTTAAGCATTACGCCTCGAGCAAGGCGGAAAGCCACTAGGATGCAGGGGGTTGCAGAAGATTTGGAGCAAGAGCAGATAGCAGTGATAGAAGAAAGGATGAGGAGAGGGATAGTGGGTAGATCAAGGTAACTGGAGATGTCGATTGACATTACATTTGAATAGTTGGAGATTATAGCTCTCAGGGAAACAGTAATTGGGAAGGGGGTTCCACAGGCGAGAGGTGCGAGGTATGAAGCTATTGGAGTAGAAGAGACGGCTACATTTAAAAGTTTCTACAGTGAAAGGGTGGGAGCGGGATGCTAGCCTCGTAGGGCGCTTGAATTCATGGCGTCTGGGAACCAGTGAAAGCAGCTCATCGGAGCAATTACCATGAAAGTATTTGTAGAAAAGACAGAGAGAGGCGACGGCACGTCTGTGAGAGAGTGACTGTAGACGAGATGCCAGATCAGGGCCAATTATATTGCATATCTGTCTGTGGATCTTGTCAAGAACTCCGAGGTAAACAGAAGGTGCCCCAGACCATATATGGCAGCAATACTCCATGCAAGGGCGAATGGTTGATTTGTATATTTGAAGTTACTACACTTGTCAAATACATCTTCACACATATAAACGTAGGTACCTCAGCTTTTAAGTTAGCTTTAAATGAAAACTAAAGGAGTGAATTTTCTATAGCCTGTAAGCAAAATACTTTGGTGTATTTCAAACAGAAATTATATTGATTGGAATAGATTTTCATTGTTTTTCAATAAACTCGATCACGTCAGCCATTTTTTAGATATTTGTAAACAAAAGTTATTTTTTCGTTTTAAAAATCTTGTAAAAATAAAATATATAGATTTCTGAAACGTTATTTGAGGAAAATTAACAAAGTTAACTTAATATGATTTGAAAGAAATATTACTTACTTATAGCATAAAATGTTGTATACAATCATTTCCTAACCACGGGGTCTTGTTTTTCTGACGTGTTAATCGATTTATTGATGTTGCATTGATAGCCGAACAGGATCATAATTAACTATAGTGGAGCAGATGACAATTTTTGTTAGGTTTTTTTATTAATAGATTCATCGGTTTTTATATCAACATTTAATAAATTCTGAATCTATATACATATATAGAACAAATCGAAATTGTTTTAAAAATAGTCGAGGTCTTCAAATTTAAATAAGATTTAAAATATATGATTATTAAAAATAGTTTTACATAACAATATTCTCCAAATTTATTTCAACGAAACTGAACTTTAAAAGATTCAAAAACTTTATAAATTATTCAATTTTAAATTGTAAAAAGTTGTGAAAAATGAAAACAAATCTTATAAAGATTAATTTTTCATCGAAATTTTTTTCTTCAGACAATAGTATTTTTAATACATACTTTTCGTAAAAGCAAATAAAAACCTCTCTAATTAAATAATGCCTTAGTTTTATTGCGATTTTTATTTTTCTATTCAGAACAGATTTTCAGTAAGACCAGCTCCAATTTTGTAAAATAGAGTCAGTGATTTAAATTCTTCCAAAAATTCTGCTTTTAACTAATATAGTCACTACAAATTATCTCGATGAATTTCTGAAGCTTTCTAAAAATTAAATTAGGGGAGAACACATCTAAAAAAAAAAAAAATTACCAAGATTTCCTAAAAAAATAATTAAAAAATGATTTCATTCATTTGAGAATAAGTGCTAAAAATTGGATTAAACTCTGAGTATTATTTGATTTTTGCAAGAATTTTCAAATTAATGTGTCTGTCTCACCCCAAAAAGTGGCGAAAATTTGCTGTGCTAAAAATTAGTACAACTGCGACGCAAGAAAAACAAGTTTTTTTAATAAAGATTTTGAATGTTCTAAAAAGGAATAAAAAAATTAATAAAATAACCAAAATATACTTGGATTCTTCCTCTTAATAACAGAATGATTTTCACGATAAAATTATGTTTTTATTACGTTTGGAGAATTTTTTTATCACCGTCTGCTGATTTTTAGTGATCTCGTGGATGTACCTATAAAAAGCATTTATCTTTTAATCTATACTAACGCAGTGCATTCAGTTGTTAAAAAAAGGGCACACAAAACATTTTGTGTAACATTTTTTGTTCACAAAATATTTTTGTAATTTCATTTCTTTCAATCTAAAAGAAAAATGATCCGCCAATAAATAAAATTATTAAAATTTGAAGATCCGTGCAAAAATCAAATAATTGTCGGATTTTAATGAAATTTTTAAGACATATTCACAAATGAATAAAATTATTTTAGAATTTCTTTTTAGAAAATCTTGGTATATATATATATATATATATATATATATATATATATATATATATATCTGTTGTCTTCCTTAATGAAATGTCGAGAAAATAAATTTTGTCCCACTTCATATTTATATTAGTTAAAAGCACAAGTCCTTGGAGAATGTAAATCATCATTTTTTTCAAACAGTTACTCATTACCGAAAACCTTCTCTGAATTGTAAATAAAAGATGCAATAAAACTAAGACATTATTTAATTAGAATAGTTTTCAATTATTTTTATGAATAAGATATATTATAGACACTATTGTCAGAAGAAAAAAAATTCGATGAATAATGAATTTTTACAAAAATTGTTTACTCTTTTTAAAATTTTAATTAGTTTAATTTATAAAGTTTTAATTCTTTTACATTTCTTTACATGTTTTTAAATATTTTAAACTTCTACACGGGTTAGGTGATATTATTAAGTAAAAACTATATTTACTAATCATAAATTTAAAAGCTTATTACAAATCGTCCAGCACTAATATTTTTTAAAAAAATTTGATTTTTTTATATTTATTAACATGCCTATTTTCTATTATATGGTGGACCATATACGACATTAATAGAAAATAAAAGTGATAAATGTAGTAAAATATTTATAATTCAATAAAACATTATATTACGGAGAATATTTTCTAAAGATTGCTGAGTACTTAAAAATTATAAATAAATGTAGCACATGTTGATTCAATTCCATTTTTAACGCTTAAAGTCCTTATAGAGCAACATTAGATAAATATCAATCTGTCATCGAGAACGCCAGAAATAAACAGCTCCTGTCAGATTGGAAAATTTATTTTTTTTATTTGAAACTTAAATTAAATAATAGTTATTTCAAATTAGATTTCTTAGACTTTAAATCTGCTAATATTCCTCTAATAATGTTTCAGAGAAGTATATTTTATTTTTGGAAGATTTTTTAATAATTTTTTTTATTGCGATGACAGATGACTAAAACAGAGCAATAAACAAATTAAAAATAATCGTTCCAGCCAATTTAAATATTATTTTTTTTAAAAATAGAGCAAAGTATTTTCTTTATTGGAAATGTTAAATTTTATCTATTAGCTTGAATTTAAAACTAAAATAAAAGCTTCATGATAGATTATTTTCATTTTAAACCTTAGGTATCGGGATTTTTTTATTTCTTTGACACACATTTCTTTGATATATTTACACACACACATATATATATATATATAGTTTCATTAAAAACGACTGACAAATTTTTCTTGTGTTCTTAGAATTTTCTTCTTTTCTGGACATACAATATGTAGAAATTGTCTGAATGTTCTCTATGCCCGAACGCTTTCGGCTATTCTTTTAGCCACGACCAAGGATGATTTTATTTTTACTTTTAACTGAATATATGGATTGTTTTATGTATGGACCTAAAGTTATAGGAATGTTTTATTTTCCAAACACGGTCAGCACATTTCTACATAATCTAAAAGAAAAGAAAAGAAAAGGAAAAGAAGAGAATTATAAGAAAAAATAAAATAAATAACTTATCTGCAGTATCTTGTGAGTCGTTTTTAATGAAACTTGTATAAAAGAGGGATTGCTGCCCAAATACACACACATGCACACACATACACGCACACACACACACATATATATTGGGGAAAATGTATGACAAAATGTAAGTTTTCTTGTGATGCCTTTCATCCTTTAGGACTTCATCGGACTAATGTTGATGCGACTACACATGCGCACGAACGAGGGACGATGGGAATTTTATTATTTTTTGTTTAGCCGATTTCATTTAGATTCCTTTTCCTTCCATCAATTTTGTTAGTGGATACACACACTGTGATAATAGAAGTTCTGCTAGGAATGGTGAAATGTTCTAAGAGCCAATGCGCCAATTTACTGTCGATGATTTTGCGATCAAGAATTTTTCTTCGTAGTGAATTGTTTTCTCCTTGGATCAGGGCAGCTTTTTTTTCGTTACGGTGGGAAACCAATGCATTTGATGTATTATTTTGTAAAATGTCCCTTTTGTGTTCATATAATCTTTTATTTAGATTCATTGCGGTTTCTCATATGTATATTTTGGGACAATTATTACAGGCGATGGAGTAAACTTCTTCAGGTGTTAGCTTATTGTTTTGTTTAGTATTGATTAAATCTTTTATTGTTTTGGATGTATTACTAACAAATTTTATATTGAGTTTAGATAGATTCTTCCCAATTGTCGTTGTGATAGAGTTAGTTGGTAGGACAATACATTTTTCTGAGGCCTTGGATTTGTCAGAAGGGACCGATTTTCTATTTTTCAATATTTTATGAGCATTTTGTTTTGCATTGAATACAAATTAATTAAGGTATTGAAGGAGCATGAAAGTTTTTCATGCGTATTTCTCGCCTTCATGTAAATATTTAGGGCTGCAAATTCTGAGTGTCTTAAGTAGAATCCGATCATTGTGCTGGATTTTATTTTGTTATGGTGAGAATAGAAATTTATTAGAACGTTTTTATTGGTTCATTTTTGGTGGACATCGAGTTTTAAACTGCTGTTAACGCATTGTAGCTTGATATCTAGGAAATGTAAAGAATTATATTCTTCCATTTCGTACGTAAATTCTATTGTAGGTTCGACTTTGTTTAGTTTCGCTATTAGGTCAGGTAAATCTGTATCTCGAGGATATATCAATAGAGCATCGACAGTATAACGAAGTATGTTGATTGTTTGTGTAAAATGTTTTGGAAAGGAACAGATTAGAGAAATTCTTAGAACAAACATGGCTTCACTCAGCTAAGAAGCGATCCCATTGGTAATTCAATTTTTTGTTTGTAAAAATCATTATGAAATAGGATTAACTGATGCTGAGACGGAACATTTTTAGTAATTTAGCTGTTGTAGGGAGAGCTTTTCCTTTGATTGTGTTAGATGCTTTTTGAGTGGATTCAAGCATTTTTAACTGTGGCGTTGGTGCAGGGAAATTTTATATCTAGACTAGTGATGAGTTTATCAGTCATGTCGATTTCGCTTAGTTTTACAACTGGACTACCTGCGTTCTTTATATGAGATGGACTGATTGTTCCAAGGAGAGGGTTTATAATTTCTATTATGACTTTCACAAGTTTGTGTGGATGCTGTCTATGACTGAGATGATGGGGAGAATCGAGATACATAGTTTTGGGTGTTCTATGGTGATATTCTATAAATCTATACCATGATGTGTTTCCCTAATCTCCTTGTTAACTTTTGTGTTTCAGTAATTATTTTCTGTTTGTTTATTTTTTCGTATGTGTCGATATCGTTAAGTAGTGAATTAATTTTGTCTACGCACGTGCTTTTCTTCCTGATTACAAGTCCACCTTTCTTGTCATATTTCTCGCTAAGTTCCTTAATACATTTACGTGTTTCAATGGTAATGTATTTTCGTTGTCGATTTCTATAGTAAAAACTTTTCCTACTTTGTCATACATTTTCCCCAATAATATTGTCCTTGATATATAAAAATATATATCGCTATCTCGCATATATATATATATATATATATATATATATATATATATATATATATATATTTTTTTTTTTTTTAGATATAGTAAAAAAATTTTTTTAAACAACATTTAAAATATTTATGACAGTTAGATTTAAGTTAGGAATAAGTTCCGAACAGTGACGTTCCATATCACGTGACGTCCACGTCTCGCGAAGGACGCTACTTGCTAACAAACAGTAATTTTAATTTATTTGTAACAAACAGTTATTTCTGATGAATAATTGAGGACAATTTGAAATATCAAATATATATATAAATAAATAAATACGTTCATAAAATAAAACACTATTATTTTTTAATTTGAAACTTTTTCTATATATACATATTAAGAAAGTATACGTGGCTTATCATTATGCTATATATATATATATATATATATATATATATATATATACGATTATATAGTTTCTACATTCAACACCATCACTTGATGAGACGCCAGAAGTGTTGAAACAAAATGGCTATTTTTGTAGTGATTTTATAACATATTTATGTTATAATTTTCTAATAAATAATTACATTTGCTCTACTCTTTATTGAGCACTCTTTTAAGAATAGTATTTTTTTGGTTATGGGAATTTATTCCGTATACACCAATCCTATACTTGGATATATATATATATATATATATATATATATATATATATATATATATATATATATGAAGAAAAATGCAGAAAAAACAAACAAAAATCGTTTTTGAAATCATTTTTGATTTGCTTTGTAACGTGGAGGACTTCAAGCTTGTATGAAGATATAAGAACCTATTGATCTCTGCGTATTCCTATATCAACGGAAGGGATTTCTTGAACTGTTTATATAAAATAGTTCAATCGACTTTTTTAATATTTTAATATTTGGAAATCATCTTCGAATACGTTTTCACAACATCGCCCACGTGACGACAACGTGATCATATTTAAACGGAATGCTGATCTTATATAAAAATTTCAGTTATCTGTTTGGATTAGTTGTGCTTTTATGTCCATCGTCTTTTGTGTTAAATTTTTATATGCTCTAATGTTAATTATGTTTAAATGAAAATGTCCATGAAGATGGTCTTAAATAGACTGAAACGTCCGACGTCGACTTTATATTAACATTAATACAGCATAATTGCATATTAAGATTTTTGTTTGTTTTTTCTGTATTTTTCTTCATACTGTCGGTTCTATATCCATATATTTGCTTACATATATATATATATATATATATATATATATATATATATATATATAGGTTAGGTAAATGTGCTACGTATGATGTGCTAGCATGTATATGCTGGTAAGCAAATAAATAATTACCAAATTTAGCCAAGAGGTATAGACATAATAGTGCTAAATGTGATTAGACAGAGCTAAGAAATATATGTTAATAAATATGCATACAACTATGTCTGATGTGCGACTTTAGTTTTGTTGATTACCCAAGTCATCGGACACAAGATATAGATTATTGTTTATTTAAAAATATAATGTATACTTTTTCAAATAAACAATGAGCTATATCTTGTGCCCAACGAGTTGGCTAACAAACTAAACTCGAGTGGCACACCAAAATTAGGTATATGTATATTTATTAACACACACACACACACACACACACACACACACACACACACACACATATATATATATATTTAAACGTTTTGTATTTATTTATTTATTGCATTTCAAGGTGGGAGTGCCACTAAGAGAAAAGAGGGGTGTTTGACGAAAGGATAAAGAGAAGGACGAGGATCAAAATCAAAGCATCAGAAGATGTTGATTGACATTACATTTGAATATTTGAAGATTATAGCTCTCAGGGAAACAAGTAAGAGGAAGGGAGTTCCACTGTCAGGAAGTGCAAGAGAAGAGGTTGGAGTAGAAGGACCGCTTACATTTAACTGTTTTGACAGTGAAAGGGTGGGACCGAGATGCCAACCTAGTAGCACATTTAAATTTATGCAGTTGGGGTACTAGAGAAAGTAGCTCGTCAGAGCAGTGGCCATGAAAATATTTGTAGAAAAGACAGAGGGAAGCCACATCACGTCTGTGTATGATTGTAGTTATTTGAGTAAATGCTCTGTTTTTTCATTAAGCAGTATTAATTACATTTACCAGCTAGAATGTTCGAGAAATTTCGTCGAAAATATGCGCTCTCCGACAGGAATCGAACCTGTATCCTATACAAAATTGTGATTAATTTTGACGTGTTATATATTATAAAATGGGCTAACTCCAATAATTATTTATTTTCTGTTTATACGTTATTTTTATATATACGAATATTTAAGTAAAAGCTCTGTTTATAATAAATATATATATATTGATAAAGACAAAAAGAAAACTTTTGTTAGCCGACCCAGTTGATCCTCTGATGGGCTTTCTCGTGGCAAATGTAAAGATTTTATTTTGCAACAAGAATTTATAAACGAATGTAAACATGTCAGTTTTCAAACGCTCATAAATATTATATATATATATATATATATATATATATATAGAGAGAGAGAGAGAGAGAGAAAGAGAAAGACAGAAAGAAATAGATAGATAGATAGATAGATAGATGTGACCAGGCTAAAAGTGGACAAGGCCAATAGAATACATAGATGAACGAACTAATAAAATAAATGGACGCCCGTATACTAGGACGGCTAGCCAATCCCTGTTCCAGACGCCTCCTCAGGCACATATGTTGTTTATGTTACAACTATGCTGAGCGGATTTAGTTACAGTTACTGGGAGTGATGCTTTATCTGGTGTGATCAGCAGTCTAAACAAGGCCAGCACGCTGAACGTCTCGGTCACGATGACTTGTGTCTTCGTGCTAGCACAACCACCGACGTTCCACAAAGAGTTCCATCTGCCGTCGACCCGTAGTATGGTTTTCACGCATTTCCCAAAGTTAAACTCGCGCTGGGATTGACTTCCCCAGACCGATAACATCAAGATTTTTGGTGAGATTCGAACCCGGGTCTCATGGTCAGAAAGCGAACGTTCTAACCATTCAGCCATAGATAGATAAAGGACATACTTATATACGTATGTAGAGAGAACTAGATATGAACAGAAATGGATATGTAACTAGTTGTAATCAGGCTGAAAATGAATGAGAAAAGAATAAATTCTCTGTCTTGCCATCCATTTACACAAGCTGATTAGGTAGGTTATTTATTGGTTCTTCTGCCTTTTAGATCATATGAGTGTCAAATTCACCAACCCTCTATCCTCAATGCATTTCCCAGAAATTTCAACTGTCATTTTATGGTTCCAATTATATGTATCCTTTTCGTTTCCCTGAAGATTTTCCAGTTTCTCACGCTTGTAGATTGATACAGAGAATGTATCTTATTCTACTTTTGACATTGCAATTCAGTAATGGTATAAGTGTTTAGTTCCATTTGTATTCACTGTCGAAGCCATTAAGACGAAATCTTTGCATGAGTAATGTAGGAAGCAGCCATATTACGCACAGATCAAATAACGGTGTTTTTTTTAGATAATAGGAAAATTGCACAGGTTAAGTTATTAAATTAAAAAGACTAAGGGGTGTGTAGACGAAGTAAAAGTTGGGTTGGATGAGTTGGCACTGATAATAGCAGAAATAAGCATACAATTGATTGTAGGTGTACAGATAACAAAGTGAAAAAAGAGTCTGTGCCTTGGACATCATTTTGTCTTGCCTCGTTATCGTTTTGTCTTCTCTATTTCCCTTTCTCTCTTCTATATAATAAATACGAATGTCTGTGTGTCACTGTGACATACTTTTTCAATTTTACTCCTAGAGGCCGTATCCCAACATATTTTACCATTTTGTTAATCTTTGTAGCGCTTAATGTTTATATTATTTATACAAAGATCTCCACTGAGAATATAAATCATCAGTCAGTCAGTTATGCACCAAACGTGATACACGCTTAGGATACCATGTATGTTTCTATACATAACTGACGAGGCAGGGTTTTGCCTGCAGTAGGCTATCATTTTTTTCTGCGGTAGGTAGACCAGTTGTCATCGAAGGCTATAATAACCCGGTCTGTCCTGCTCTAGCTGGGGGGGGGGAGAAGAGAGTATTAGCACGTAAGTGGATGTAATGGATTTGACTGAAATCCGAACTCTGCTCTCCGATTCCTCAATCCGAGCCACTATCTATTACTCCAACGTCATCAATGTTTTTGGAAAAACCGGACCCACTTTTTGGAATAAAACTAAGACATTATTTAATCAAAAAATGTTTTAATTACTTTTATGAATAAGACATATTATGGACACTATTGACTTAAGGAAAAAGTATTTTTCTATTGGGAATATTAAATTTAACCTATTAGCCTTAAAAAAAAAAAGAAAGATTTTTCGTTTATAAAAATCCATTTTAAAAATTAGGTATCGCGTTTTACTGGAGGTACTTATAATATATCAATATATAATATTGTAATAGGTTAATATATAATATTGTGGTAGGTTAATATATTAATATTTAATATTGTGATAGGTTAACATATTATTATATAATATTGTGATAGGTTAATATATTAATATATACTATTATGATAGGTTAATATATTATATATAATATTGATAGGTTAATATATTAATATATAATATTGTGATAGGTTAATATATTAATATATAATATATAATATATATATTAATATATAATATATTAATATATTAATATATTAATATATAATATATAATATATTAATATATTAATATATTAATATATAATATATTAATATATAATATATAATATTGTGGTAGGGTAATATATTAATATATAATATTGTGACAGGTTAAAGAACAAATAGGAAAGGTTTATCAATCTAATTTATTTTACTTTTTGCCAAATGATGTAGCCTTGTAGGAAATTTCTATTTCTCTGGAAGTAACCTGAAAATAGATGGATAGAATCTTTTTTTTTTTTTTTTTTTTTTACGAATCCATGGTTTTATTAAGAAGAGTCAGCTGAAATTCCTGGGACACATAATGAGGAAGAAGGGCCTGGAGAATCTGATACTCACAGGTCGAATAGAGAGGAAAGAGAGACAAGGGAAAATAATGCATGACATACATGGTGGGCTTAAGCAAGTGGATGACAGAACATGGTCTGGGGGAGGAAGCAGAGGGAGAGGAACTTGTTGATAGTCGCAAGGGATGGAGGGAGGTGGTGGAGAGCCATGATCGCCTACGTCCTGAAAGGACACGGCACATAGAAAGAAAGAAGTTTCCATGTTCAGACAAGATGAATTGAAACTAAATACACATAAAATTTCCTACAAGGTTTCATCAATTGGCAAAAAGTAAAATATGTTTGATTAATAAATGCTTCTTTTCTATCTTATCATTCTATCCGATCCATATTTGATCTGTATTTGATCTCGACTCATATAATATCATTATATAATACGATATAATATTGTATTGTATTAATATCAATTGAATATGCTCTGTTATACAATATAATATTGTATAATAATTGTATACATATTTAAATTAAATAAATGAATAATTAAAAATTTTGAAATTTTAAAATAATTTAAAATGAGCGAAGTAAGAATAAACACGTATTTAAGTCGGTGTTATTCATCTATGCAACTCTCTCACCTTCTTAATCTGTCTTTTTTCAATTTTCCACACGCGCATGCGTTTAAACTCTAGATCCAAGTGCTTTTTGCTCTTGACAGAAATGACAAAGCACCAAAAGGAACTTAGAAAAAGACTACATCAAAGGAACTTGCCTAACAAGATTTATAATCTCCCTATCTTGATTGCAATCATACGACGAAGCTATGAGAATTCATTGCAAATTTCTTTTTATAACAATGGCGGCTTCTAAGATCAGTAAGCCCATGGAGAAATTGCTTTCGCTTTCAAAAGCCAATACAGACCGCCTGTTGCTCGCAAAATTTGAACTTTCTTCTGGTTCACGTTACAGAGAATATAAATCCACGCTCTTTAATGAAAATTTTATATAAACTTTCAATAGGCAAATAAAAGTAAATGATATTTTTTGAACAGAAATTGATAGATTATAAACACATTTGCTGGTTGCTAATGATAACAGCATTTTAGGGAATATTTGTTTATTTTGTTAATTTCTAAAATGACACTTTCTGGAAACTTTAGTCAATTCGACGATTTATATAATCATGAATGTGCGACTGGGTATGGTATTTTAAAATAGATGTGTTATACCCCAATAAATTCAATATATTTATCTTACACATGACGACCGAAATTATACTTGCAAGACACAGAGCAGAAAGAAAAATCATGTAATATTTTTATTTATTCAGGATATTATATATAAAATATATTAATATATAATATATTAATATATAATATTGTGGTAGGGTAATATATTAATATATAATATTGTGACAGGTTAAAGAACAAATATATATATATATATGCCACCGTGCCTCCATATATATGTATATATTGAGAGATAGGAGGGCCGAGTTTGAATTTCAGTCGAATCTATTACAAACACATACGAGCTAATAACCCCTGAGTAAGGTATGAATCTTCTTCTTCTCCCCCTAGCTATGGGTAATTAAGTGAATGTAATGGATTTGACTGGAATTCGAACTCGGTTCTCCGATTCTTCAATTCGAGCCGCTATCCATTACTCCGCCGTGCCGCCTATCCTACAAAATAGAAAAATTAAATAAAAATTAAATCTTCTTTGTCTTCCATATATTTAATGAAAGATGTTTGCTGCCCAAATACACACACACATGTATACGTATATATATATCTGTGTGTGTCTGTGTGTGTGTGTGTGTGTGTGTGTGTGTGTGTGTGTGTGTGTGTGTGTGTGTGTGTGTGATATGAAATAACGATATATATTTTTATATATCAAGAACAGTATAAAGGAAATTGTAAGAGAAAATGGAAAAGTTTATCTGTGACGTGTTTCATCCGTTAGGACTTCATCGGACTGGGTTTGATGATGATGTTCTAACTACGCATGCGCATGAAAGAGAGACGCTGATAGTTTCAAAACTTTTTGAAATAATCTTTTGACATAACATGGGTTTGGGTCTATCTAATTTCATTTAATTTCTTTTCTTTATGCTTTTTTATTAAGTATCGCACATTGTGATAATAGAAGATCTACCATAACACCTTTATAAAGTTTACCCAATGTTCAACAGGGCAGATTGAATTTGGAACTGTGGTATTGCACTCAATTTGGGGTTTGAGTTGATAAATAATGACACAATATTTTCTTCCAAATCGTTTCCCTTTTTAGAGGAAAGGAACTTAAAGAATTAATTTTGCTTCAAAATCGTAGCGATGTAATTTCATTGATCAGTGATGTCTTATAGCACAGTCATATAAAATTTATAATTTACTGAAACTTTACAAATTGTAAATAGACGAGGCACATGCACATTATTACTAAATCATTGTACCATAAGATCGTCATTTACTTAAAAGGAAAATTTTACTAACCAATTTGTTATTTTATGATGTAATATGTTATACTTTTCAGTAGTTTTATTGCGATTTTCATTAAACAATGCAAATTTATAAATAAATTGATTTATAATTTGTAACCATCAGCATTATGTTGTTAGGCATTTTTTTAAAAATCTATTTTTCGTTTTTATTAATTACTAGCAGCATGGCTTGATTCAAAAATTGTACGACTCATACAGCAATCGCTATCACTTGACTTAAAATATTTTTGCCCTTCCTTGACTTTAAAGGAGTGCCTTTTGCCGTGCTAATGTTGCTACATGCCTTACTTCTTGCCTATCTCACACTACGAATTTTTTCTAAGCTCTATACTAAACATTATATCTGTTACGAAAAAAGAACTTAACAAAATGAACACAAAACGATCAGCTTTAAAAAAGGAGTCGTAACTGGAAAAACCGAATGAAAAATGAATGTTAACAACAAATACTTTTTCACACCCAACCCAGTTCTGCGGAATCAGAATCAACGTTGAGTTTAAGCAAGCGAATGAGCGAATTGGAGTAAAGTGCCATGCAGATTTAAATTTTTCCCACTTGTGACG